CATGTGGCCCCGGGGATGGAATTCAAGGTCCTCAGGCCTGACAGCAGGTGTCTTCACCTGTTCTGCAATCTTGTTGGCTCCTTTGCTGTGCCTTCCAATGTGAGTATTATCAACAAACTCTATGATCTTAGGAATGGATTCTGGTCCTCCAGGCTCTTCGTTGATACAAAAAGGCTACATGTACAGGCACTGGATAGAGTGCTAACATTTGCTAATGTATTGGGTGGTATGAGGTAAAAAGGCATCCTTTCTCTCCATCTCTCTCTTCCTGTCTGTCTTTCTCTGTCTTTGTCTTTGTCTCTCTCTCTCTCTTTAGAAAGGATCCTCAAGGTATGTTGCCCAACCACATCAGGCAGGACAGATGTGGTTTGATCTATAGCATTTGAACTGAAGGAAAATTCAAGTTCACTGTTGACCCCAGGTGCCTACTGCTTAACTTTCAAAGTGATTTAAATAGAGTGTATTTCATTTTGTGTATACAGGAAAGGTTGCATACTCCCTGACCATACTTTGAAACAACCAAGGACAAATTATTATATGAGATCTTTCTAGCAAAACCAATGACAGTCATAGAACCTAATTTTCTCTGTATTCTGGATTTTCATCAAAATCTGGAAAGATTTTTGGATGCAGAACAGTATGTGAAAGACAGCGTTGTCTTATCCTAACACCAATTAGCATTGTGCTGCTACTCTGCCATCATGTAATTCTTCTCCAGCGCTTACAGCGTCCATCTTGCTTTACAAGTGTGATGCAAATTTGCAACAGAAGGTGAGCCAGGTGAAAGTGAAGCCAGTTTTCTCAGCCTTGAGCGAGAAAGGTCTGACCTTGTGTTTCCCTGACACTACAATCAGTAAGGGGTGCCAGCAGTGACTGCGAATCACAACACCTAGAAAAACCCTGAATTCAGTCTAGAAGGAGCAAATGAGGAATGGGCTGAGACGGTAAGGAGAGTGTGCTCAGCTCATTAAGGTGAGACATAGAGATAGACAGTTCGGAATAAAGCTGGTGTTCCCTCTATGGTTCTCTCCATAACTCTTAACTCATGCAACTAGAGAACCAACCTTGACCCTTACCTGTAGAACGTCTGTTTGTTAGAATCAGGCCTTAGTAAACAGTGGAAACCATTCATGTGGGTCCTCCTGTGCCTCCTGCCCTGGCCTTTCCTCCTGATCTATACTGTGATGTTTATGACTTGCTTTGGGATACTGTGATGGTCAGTCTTCCCAGATGGAGGGAATTTAGGATCATCTAGGAGGCCAACCTCTGGGACAGGGTCCCACCTGTCCTTGCATGGGACCCATCATCCATGAAGGTCCCAGGCCGAATAAAAAGAAGGAAGCAAGCAGGGCACCATCTTCATCTCTCTCTGCTTCCTGCCTGAAGACCTGACATGCCCAGCTGTCTCATGCTCCTACTTCCATACCTTCCTGACGGATATAGCATCAGACCCTGAACCAAAACAAACTTTCTCCCTCAACTTACTTCTCCCCAGGTATTTTGTTGCAGTAGTATGTAAAAAATAACTGATACAAGGAGCTGCCACTAAAGTGAGTTGGTAAATGTTTGCCATGACCATTTGGTACATTGTACGCATTTTATAGATAGAGTTGAGTATAAGCAAACCAACAAAATTTGACTCATTTCAAGTTTAATGTTAAGGGCTGAGTTTGGAGCCCTTCTTTGATTCCCATGAGAAGCCCCCCCTTTTTTTTTCATCAATATATGCTACCATTGACCAGTGTCCCGGTTAACCTGAGAAATGACTGAGTAATCACTGCTTCTCTTCCATCCAGCCCTGTTTCTGCTTCCCTTTGATCTAGCCTTGGGTTTTCATTCCCAGTTATAGCTTCTCTGTGGAATGTGGAATGTCTTCTATCCCCTTTATCAGGGTAAGATATTTTAGCTTACAGGGATACCCCCACTCCCAGTACCAGGATCCTGTTACACTTTCTGCTGGCCATACCATTTCAGAGGACTGAGATGTGAGTCTGTGTTTCATGTTCTGTGAGCTGCACAGAAGCCCAGACTCATCATTGTAAGAGAATCTTCAAAAACCCAGCCTGCCTTCCCAGATTTATCTTCCTACATGCTGAATATTTTCTCTTAAATCGCATGTGTTAAAAACAATGAATAAATAGCACTCAGTCCCCCAAGTCACAAGGTGACAATAATTATAGGTGAAACCCCTGGGGGTGGGGAATGGGATTAGGTGAAATCATGAGATTTGAGCTCCCAGATGGAACTACCAGGTTAAGAGGAAGTGGAAGAAAGGAGATGTGGGCTAGCCTACTTCTCTGCTGTGCCTCTGATACACCTCCATGACCCTCTCACTTTAGTATTAGACTACCAAGCCCCTGCATTGTGAATTAAATTAATGTGTCTTCTTTGTAAACTACAATGTCTGTCTGTGGTATTCAGCTGTAGTAACAGAAAATGGAAAAGAAGTCTCCTAAAATAGCATCTACTATAAAAAGGGAAAAGAGAGAATAAAATTAGAGCAAAACTAGAGAAGAGGCTAGTGGTTTTTTTTTTTTTCTCTCTCTCTCTACCCCCTTTCCTTGACAAGGTGTCTAAATTTTGAGAACTCACACAAATAATGTTCAGGAGCTCACTGTCATCATCAAATCCATTCATCCTATGTTGTTAATTACTTTTCATAAATAATAAGCTGGAATAAAACATTAAGATATATATCGTCTCTTTATGTCTTCATATTTAAACTTTATTTTCGAGGTACCAAGAAGTTAAAGGTTCCATGTTATAGCGATAAATCTTAACTATTACCTTAGTGTCTTCTAAGGACATTTACTTGATGTTGGTGACAGTTTATTGCAACCTTTGTGTTATCAGTAGTTCTGGCTCAAGCACTTTCTCCTAATTCCATGCCCTTATCTCTGAGTCAGCTCTCTCCTGGGCTGGTAATGGTGTGTCTACCACGTCAGCTCCAGGACTGCAGGCCAACCTGGCTGGGAAAACCTCTCCATGCCCCTCCCGGATTCCATCACTCTTCTCCAGCCTGGTCAAAGACAGGGTAAACAACTTTATTTCATCTTGCATCTCTTCCCAGAACCGAACTTAAGATGTTCTCAAAAATTATACAAATCTTTGATTATGTCTACCTCCTTCACGCAGAAAAGCTTCATTTAAAAGCGCAATTTTAATTTTTTAATTTTTTTTATTACTGTGTTTGTGTAGGTGTATGCCATATGTGTTCAGCTGTCCTCAGAGGCCGCCAGGTCTCTTGAAGCTGATGTTATTAGACATGGGTGCTGGGTTATCAGACACGGGTCCTTTGAAAGAGCAATAAGCACTCTTAGGCAAGAGCTAGTTATCCCTGTAGTCCAAAAGCACAATTTTATAAAAGTGGAATCTAAGCCCCTTTGAGCTGTGCTCACTGAGTATCCAAGAACACAGACATGCCCACTACTCCTAAATGTGGATAACAGAAGATGCCAAGAGAGACAGAAAACTTGTGTTAAGTTAGCTACTTCAAGGTCGTAGGCTATGGCTTTTTTCTTCTCTCTTTTCATTGCAAAGGACAAAATAATGTGCATGGATGGGGAAGCTTACCCAGGGATCAGAAACCCGAGCCTCCTCACAGCTTTCTCATCTCCCATGGTGCTGGAAAGTAGAAAGATAGCTGCAGGTGAGCATAGGCTATGAGGAGGCGGGTGGACAGAGGAATGGAAGGTGAGCAGACAGAAGACGTTGGGAGGAAGATCAAGCGAAGGAAATAAAGGAAGGAGGACAGAGGCCCCTGGGGGTAAAAGCAAAGCCTTGCTTCAACATGCCAAATGCTTCTAATTAAAGTTTTGAACTGAAGACCAAGCAAGAAGCACTCTAAATGGCCACTCACTGCTGTTTTTTCTTCAATAAAGGGGCAGGAGAGGAGGGGGAAAGCAGCAAAAAACAACACCTGGGAGACATAGAGGAGGCAGAGGACAAGCCTCACCTCAGCATTCTGCACAAGGTCAGAGAAGCATTCTTCATAAACCAGGCAGTTTCACTTGCATCCAAAGTCCCGACTTCAGAAACAATGCCAGGAGCCACTTGTGAGAAACAGAACCTTTTTTTTTTTTACTGCCCTAAAGTGAAGAAAACCCTGATTTTCTCTGTGGTCTTTCTGCCCTGACTCTCCATTCAGTTGCTGGAAGAGGTTGGGTGAAAGGAAGGGTGAGGAACGCCCTGCGGGCCTTTTATTCATAGATCCCAGCCAGTGTCCCTGGCTGTTAGGGACACACACGCACAAGCTACTTCCCTCATCATAGAGTTGGGGAGGATATCACAGCAAGATGGCAGGGGTTGGAAAGTAATGAAAGTAAGATATTTCTCCAGCTACAGGGGCAAGAGTTGGATTTCAGAAGCGGAACTTCCATGTTTTGACAACCGGCTTGCAAAAAAATAAAAAATAAAAAAAATAGACCTTGTTTCGTTCCATGTATGAAAAGAAACCGCTGGTGGATGAAAACATAATTTAAAAAAAATTAAATAAAATCCAAATATGGTGGAGGACACCTGGAATCCCAGCTCTGTGGAGGTGCAGGGAATAGAATCAGAGTTCTATACCATCCTTGGCTACTTGGGCAGTTGGAGGCCAGCCTGGGCTAAAGACCCTGTCTCCTCAGAATGCAAGCAAACAGTCCTCGGCATCCCTGAAGGGGGCACTGTGGATACTTACTGGTGTGAGGGATTTGCTTTGCTCTTTGAATTCAGGCAAAAGCCGTCACTCAGAATGTCAATAACGGATCCCACACTGTGACCTTAGCCAGACCCAGCCCGTGTATCTGCTCCCTGCATCCAGCATCGGCCACTTGTCCGAGTGAGCTCGGAGGTTCACTGGGAGGCCCCAGCACTGCGAGTCTCAGGCCATGTGTTAACAATCTCACCAGTGCCTGGGATGTGGCAAGGACGCATTTCTGTATGAATTATGATTGTAATGAAGACAGGGCGGGAAGAGGACACAAAAGAGTTGAGATAATACAATACCACGATACCTCTTTACTCAGAATACATTTATTGGTTTATAAAGCATATAAACATTTGATGAAAATATTCTTTATAAGAATAGAGAACGAGGAAAAGTAGAACGCACTCACATTATATCTGACTCCTCCTCCTCCGTCTGAGATGAGAGAAATGATAGGCAGAGCTGCACATCCCCGTGAGAGGATTCCTTCGAGTGTTTCAATGTTTTTAATAAAACGGCATCCACATTATAATCTCTGTCATGCCACATAACACTGATACAAAATGCGAATAGTACAAAGTTCATTATATATAATATAAAGTTTTAATATATTACATTTGTTCTACATAACAGACTATAAATATATGTGCCATAGCATGTTTTACAGTCATTGTTCCCAGCTTTTCACACTATGGTACCAAATGAAAAGTACAGTTTCTTTTTTGAGAAAACGTAAGCCCAAAGGGGGGGGAATCCAGTAGACATAGCTTAATATGTTAACATTCTATACGATACAGTAGATGTTATTATAACCTTTGCTCTAAGGTAATGTTGAAATCTGGCTAGTGATGATTTATCTGGAGAGTGAACAAACCAATTAAGGTTTTTTCTGCCATCGAGAGGCCACAAAGCTAAAATACTGAGGACTCGGGGGGTGAGAGCGGAGTGGGGTTAGAGGAGGAACAAATGGATACATCCTGTCTGAGCCTTTTGCAATACAAGCCGACACAGAACCCGCCGCACTTGGCCTCAGACGCTGCCACCAGGGCAGACATGGGGGTGTCCACCCAGGAGAGACCCTGAGTTGCACTGTGCACTAACAGCTAAGCCCTTTGACAGGACGGGGAACCTCTGCAAGTGTCCTCTCTTTTGGTGTTCTGAATTAAGGCGCAGCCTGGGAGATGAGAAGCAAGCTGCATCATTTCCTTCCTGGGGCCAGGCCAGGAGACACGTAAGAGTCCGGAAGGAACTCTCATTAGGAGTAGGAAACAGCACAAGGAACTCGCCTGTAGCCCGACTGTGAAGAGCACGCAACCGTCTAAAACCAGGAGCCTCGGCCGCCTTTGCGTTTCCTGACAGGCCACATGCCCACCTCCGCCAGAGCCAACACAATGTGTATGCAAGGCTCCAGCCGCTCTCTGGGCAAGTTTGCGCCTTCCTTCCTACCTGTCCACATCCCTCACTTTACACTTGGCTCGGAGCCCACATCCTCAACAAAGCCTTTTAGATAGACTCAGCTCTTAGGCATTTCACCCATCTTCAACGCACAAAGCACTAACATTGCACCCAGTTCCACAGAGGTGTCCATTACCCAGGTACGGCTACTTCTTGGAGGACAGAGCCACTGTTTGAATGTCTTTTGTTTTAAGGGGTACACTATATACGATTTTAAAATGAATGGAGAAGAGAGTACAGTCAACACATTCTTGGGTCACAGGCATCTTCTCTGGAAATGCCCTGAGGACAAGCTCTTTGCAGCCTGAGGTCCTTCTTCTGAGATGAAAATCAAATGTGCTACTTCCGGGTGGTGGAAAGAACAACACTTGAAAATCTGAGCAGCACCTCTCACATGATTTCCAGGAGATGGGGTGGGGGTGGGGGTGGGGACACTTCCTTTTTAAACAGGAGGTGAGCGCAAAGTGGTCCCAGAGTCGGCATGCACCAGCTTTAAAAGTCCTGCCTCGTCACTGGAGTACACAGTGGTGTCTGCGTCATCTGAGTGATACCCAGACTGGTAGCCACTGGTCTGGTTGGAGCCTTCTGAGACCACAGACTCCCTGCTTTTACTGGGCATCATTCCCCTGCGGAAGAAATGGCAACCAAATGAGTTGAAGAGGAAGGGACGGGGCTTTCCATACGCACCCAGTCTTCAGCTCCAAGGAGGTGGAAACTCCTCCATCGACACCAGCCCCCATCTCTCATCCCCTAATCAGCCTGTCGGGGTTTACTCAGACAAGGTCTACTTTCAGGTACTAGCTTGTGTTAGTAGCTGCAGATAAGTCCTCTTATTCAGGTCCAAGTCTTTCAAGCCTGACATGAGATAAAAGGCAGTTCTGCCAAGGTATGCAGCGTTCCCAACCAACGGAACAGTTTTACAGCCTTGATGATTGACAAGTTTGTATACAGTGATAGGAGCCAAGGGGTCTCTTTCACTATATTAAATGAAATCGGGATGGTCAAAAAAAATTCATTTGTGTCTTTCTCGTTTGGTCATTTGGAGGACGGCATGGCTTATAGAAGATGTTAATGAATTTGTAAAGGGGGGAAAAAAAAGTAACCTGGGAGAGTGTGTGCAGTCAAGCCAGGCATGTCAAAAACGGTTTTTACTCATCAAAACCACATTCTTTGGACAAATTGGGGATTCGGTCACTCAGCAGCAACTGGAGAATGTTTTCAGAGACATAGTAATCATGTCAAAACTAAAAAAAATGTGTGGACTGAAAAGCTCGGGGTTTGCCCTTTAAGGAGCCTTACCCTTGTTATTCATAATAAAAACCACACACACAAAAAGAGTCTATTTACTCTGTGTTCGGGTATGGTTTAAAGTAGTTTCAAAGAACTAGAAATACATTTCCCCCCCCTTTCTATCCAACTCCTCACTCCACAGACCAAAACCAGTATGAGTCTCAAACAATGGCATGATGTTGGCCACCTAGTGGGTCTGAGTAAGTGTGGTTTGAGTCAGTGAAGACACATATTATTGGTGCTCCTGATTTCTCCCTGGGCCTTAAAGCAGAGTTTCCTGTTACAGTTGTTAGTTTTGTATATGCATCACTCCAAAACCCACAGGGATTCAGTTCTGTTCTATGTAGATCAAATCTTTTGTGTTCTTACCGAGAATGAACCTGCTGTCAGGTAAATAACTACTATTATCCCATTATTGTTACGACTATAAATTTTCATACATTTTTTTTTTCATGTTTAAATCAGGTACACTAATTCAAAGCAACAGCACATTCCTGTTGAGCCTCGAGGGAGGAATTTGCTTAAGATCAAATTTAATACTTTTCCCACAGACCAAGAGGCAATGATTCAATCACATCTAAATATATTAAATAAGTGGATATGTAGCTATTTTTGCATCCTCATTCTAAATCATGGATAAATTCCTTTAAGTTTTGATAACACTTGTTTGATAACGGGTTTGATAACACTCCAGAGTCTGCAAAATCTGATCTCTTCACAAGCACGGTACTTGCGTCTTTGCTGTCTGGCCAGCGCCATAGAAACCACTGATCACAGTCGATACAGTGACTCATGTCACTGTACTTGGAAGTCCCATAGCCTTCACAAATTTGCCCTTGAGAAAGTGACCAAATACTCTAACTCACCTCAGATGTTTTTTTCAGACTTATCAATTTCATTCCTTGGTTTATTTCAGTTCTTAATTAAATTGTTAGTTAAGGATATTAATGTCATCAACCTTCACAGGCACCAAAATGGGGAAACTGCATTTACACTGAATGTCTTTATTAGGTCCTTGAAACAATTCCTGCCCAGCACTCTGGGAGGCAGAGGCAGACAGATCTCTGTGAGTTCGAGGCCAGCCTGGTCTATAGAGCAAATCCAGAACAGCCAAGGCTACACAAAGAAAACCTGTCTCAAAACAAAACAAAAACAAAAACACAATCCTATTGAAATAGTCTTTTTTTATTTGGCCAAGTCTTACCCAAAAGATGGGGATAATTTGTTCCTGTCTTCCAGAGTTTTCAGCTCCTCTGATGCGAGGACCATCCCGCTGTCCGTCTGGCTGTCCTTTTTAAAAGACAATGAGATGACACGGTGAATGTACACAGGCCTCACTGCTCAGTCCATCTAGCAGACAATAGGATTCAGTGTCCCACCAAGGAGGGAGAGAGCATGGCATCCGGAGACTGCGCAAGCCACAAAGGAAGCAAAGGCTCCCAGGAAGCAGACTTAGGTTTCCAGGAAGCAGACTAGGTTAGGGAGAGAGGAAAAGCCTACAGCAGCCAAGCATGCTGGGGTCCCTTTCTCTCTGTGCGTGGACACCATCTGCACTTGAGCGAAGTTAGGCATACAGTTAGACTGTCTTGAACCTTGGTCCGGGTGACTTTCTTATGGCAAAATCCACGATTCATCTCCATAATGACCTCATGGCACATGCCCTCAAGGACAGCTTTAATGAGGGAGGTTCCAAGACTCAAATGCTTAGGCTAATATTTATCTAGCTAGTATTCCACCCGGAGTATTATTTCTACGAGTATTTATAAAAGATGTACTTACATCTGGGATTACTTTCACTTCTGGTTCCTCCAATGGGATATCTTCAAATGTTTTTACACTCACTGGCCGGCTCTTTCTCTTACTGTTCTGCAGATAATGACTGTAAGAGAACAAATATTTATTTGTATTTGAGTGGCGGTATATTTGGCTGTGAATGCCTCAAGTGATACCTAAGTTCATTATCTTTCAACCACAAGTTTAATAGCAACCTTCAAAACATCCTTTGGTAAAAGAAAAACAAATTAAAAAAAAAGAAAGTTCTTTGCTAGCACACATGGAAAACTTAATTTCCTGTGAAAGTCCATTTAAAAGTATAATATAACTGAGAAGGGTAAAGGAGACCTTGTGCCTTTGAATCATACTTCTGAGGCCCAGTGCTGAACTACGGACAATGGCTGCTGACTCCACAGCAGCTGTCTTCTGCAGGGCCCTGACTGGACGGGATTCCTCCAGGGAGCTCTGGGGGTACTGCTGCCATGTTTCCCGTTTTTCTAACCATCTCCAAAGAAAAACAAAAACAAAAACAAAAACAAACAAACAAACAAACAATAAAAAAGACTCCTACACCATGTTCACAGGGTAGCTTCAGAAGAGAAGGCATCTTTGGCCTCCCTAAGGGATAATGTGTCCAAAGCAGTGTTCTCGAGTCAGCTCTTCCTTCTACATGATATACAGATCCAGGGCACAGAGGGAGGTGGGCTGAGTCTTACCCAGCCATGCTTTTATCCCACATGGTTGCCTATTTCAGAAAAGAATAGTGGCTTTAGAGTGTCAAGACCCTCTGCATAGCTTCGAGTCTAACCCTGACCATACAAAGGAGTCATGGCTCTGCTGCTCCGTCTTAAATGCATTTAGGCAGTAGCTATTCTGTAGCATACAGGGATGTAAGGAAGGTGAACAGCTCAGGAAAGGTCAGTGTTCTTAGCAAGCACAAAACTCTATCAGCCAGCATTTTTTTCCCCCTTTTGAATTCCAAAAGACCTTCAAAGGTCAGACAACACATCACCTCTCCCTGAGTGTTTCTCTTCCCTGCCACTTGACAGGAGTTCAGAGAGCCTACCAAAACCTCTTGCAGCCCAATGGGGAGGTAAGAGAAGTCCTTTTTACAGGAAGTGTCAATGCATAAACATATTCTTCACCCCTGTCCCATGACAAGCAGCCTGCTGGCCCAGTGCATAGATGCTGGGTCAGAGTTGAAGAATAGAATCTGAGCATCTCTACTCTTCCCAAAGAGGTTGTTTCCTCCCAACACAGAGGAGAGGATGCGGTTCCCAGTGACACCCTCACTCAGGAGACTCCACAGGAAAAAGGACATGTGATACTGGGAGCAAGCAAAGCCCATTTCCTGCTAACTCCAGTCCTTAAAAGCAGTGACCATCAAAGATGTCTTATATCATGATTATTCATTCGTTCAGACCTTTGGGAATCTACCACAGGCCAGGGGTAGAGCTGAATGCTCCTCAGACATCTCCTCATGGCATCCTGTCACAGTAATCTCTCCAAAATCACACAGTGAGAATCTTAGGCTATCCCTGTGAGGGCCACCGAAAAGTTTCAAGCATGGGATTGGCATGATTGGATATGCTTCCTAGAAAAAGCTGTCTGTGAATGAGAAGGATAAGAGCAGAGGCAGTGAAGCCCATTAGGAGACTTCACACTTATCTAGCGGAAAGCAAGGGATCTGATTAAAGAAAGGGAATGTGCATAAGGTTTGGAGCAGTGCCCAGATTCCATTGCTATCTGAGGGGGGAAACCAAGCAGAGTTAGGAGCCATGGGTAGCACATAGCTACCTCAGTGGACTCGGAGCCTTGAATACTGAGCCCAGTGATTTAAAAAAAACAAAAACCAACCAAACAAACAAACAAAAAACAGTATGGTCCCTCACAAATGACAAAGTATTTTCCAATATCTCTCATCTCCTCCCACGATCTCCCAAACAGAACTCTTATTATTTCCCACTGGGAGACGAAAAAAAAATACCCAAGAATCAATGAGAAAGTGGCAGATGAAGTAGGACCCACACTTTAAGTTTGCAGGCTCTAAAACCCACATGGGGTTGTTTTTCCTCACCCCCATGCCACACTGACTTCCTGGAGTATCAGGATAGAAAATAAAAAAGAAAGTCGAAGACACGCCACTCAAGTCTTTATTAAGCACTCACTACATTCATAGCATTGTTCTGGTGAGTGGGTGTGTGGAGTTGGTACAGAGTGTGGAGCACATGAAAGGTGAAGAAAGAATAGCACCATTTCAAGTAATCTAACATGATGGCCAAATCAAGAAAGAGCCAAACAGCCAGCAGGCTTTCCCAGGCATCACTCCACCATGAGTATTTAATTACCACTAGTAATTAATCAAAAAGAGGAAAATAGAATGTACCAAAGCCTTGCTCTGGGAGAGAACTGCAAAGAAATCTCTGATAAAGTGCTTGGAATGGGAGGTGAAACTCCCAGAGGAAATGACAGAGCAACCACAGATGGTCCACACACTGCCCTCCAAGAGAAATGAGCCTCTGAATACGAGTTTTCTTGAGGGAAGCATGCACACTTGGGGCCAGGGATGATCCAAGGGGGAAATTGGAGACAAAGCTAAGTCTAGACATAAGTGGCCCTCCCCGCCCCCACTTCCCAGCCTCTTCTCTACATAACTGTTGAACAAATATTTTAAAAATAGTTTAAAGGGGCAACAAATCAAGAGGCTGTCTCCCACGGTGATGTCCCTGCCCAACTCTATTTATAATGCAGTAGAGACGAAAAGTATAAGGGGGAAGCAAAGCGAGAAAGACTCAGCTTTTCTACTTGGCTGGAAGCGTGAAAATAGATAGAACATGCCCTGAGCCATGAACTAGCCTCAGTGAATTTTCCCTAGAGAAGCTTAACCACACGAGAGCCGCACACCACCGGCTACAGTGTGCCCACACCTCTGTTCTGCACCACCTTTAACTCAGACCACAGTAAGGCAACAGAGGCCTTTGTTTCTATAAAAAGAAAAACAGGGGAGTTGAGAGGCGATGCAAACAAAAAGCTTCCAATTTCTGGTTTATTTTTTAGTTTATGGATAGCTAAAATAGAAACTAGCCCGGGAAGGCTCCTTCAAAACTCACAGGCAGAAAAACCTGAGCCAGGCTTGGCTGGGCTAAAAGCAGTGTCACATTTGTCCACACTTCGGGGGATAAGTGCTAGCGGTCCCTTTTTAGACCCAGCTTCACATTGGCACATTCACATCACCCAAACAACACTCATGACTCCATCTCCTGCTTAGCACCAGATCTAAAGAACCCGGCAAGCCAAGTGCTCCAGCTCTGAACTCTTCCCTGCTTGATCACAGGGCACTGAAGGGAACAGTGTGCCATCAAATGGCTCTCTCATTAAGGAGAAGGCAATGAAGCATGGCAGGAGCAATGCTCATGCCAGGAGCCAGAACTTGAACTTGAACTAGAAATTTGCACACATGGGACTTTCGCTTCCAAACTTCAGACTCAAACCTCTCCTTGGAAGGAGGATAAATGGAGCTAAGTCGGGAATCAGAGGAGGTGGATTCAGTTCAGGGGCAAGACAGGAAGCAGCTCTCTTCACAGCTGTCCCTTATGAAGTGCCTTCAAGTGCCAGGCTCTTAGAAATTTATTATGGTATGTAATCCTCCAACCAGCCCTTCACAAACAGCACCAGTGGTGTTACCTTGCTTGACAAAGATGTGTGTGTGTGTGTGTGTGTGTGTGTGTGTGTGTGTGTGTGTGTGT